ATAAAGGAACTGTGGGGGAGGAGGAGTCCACTCCTGGGACATCCACCCTCGGGGCCCGGGCACCTCAGAACTGCCCGGAGCCCTGGGGCCATCGGGCTTGACAAGGCCACGGGGCTGCACAGAGCAGAGTCGAGAGCTACGTGCAGAATGATGGAGGAAGACAGCCAGCTGGCTTCGGTGGCCCTCCAGCCCGGGTGGGTGGATTTCCTCAGTCCTGTACCCACGGTCCTCTCTGGGCTGGGCTCAGGACAGATCTCGTGGGAAATAGCCTTCGCCTTTGTTTGCAAAGTGAAGCTGGCCTCCTGAAGACCCAGTTTTCTGGTCTCCTCCCTGGAAACCTGCCCTGTCCCCTCCCTGTCCCCAGATCCCCGCTCTGCACAGTCCCGGTCCCACCGTAGGGCAAGAGGATCCGGATCCCTCTGGCTTCCAGGACCGAGTGTCGAGGGTGGCCAGACTTAGCACATCAAAAACGCAGGACACCCAGTGAAACTTGAATTTCAAATTTTCTTAAATCATGCATGTTTTAGTATAAGTACATGCCACGCAGTATCTGGATGTACACACGCTGGGAAAAAAAAAACCCAAAAAGATCAGTTGTACATCTGAAACTCAAATCTAACTGGGCGTCCTGTATTCCGTCCAGCGTCTCTGACCCAGGTGACAGCAGCCTGCCCAGCACCCTTCATTTCGCCCATGGCCCTGTCACTCTGGCCTCGTGTCCATCCCTGCTCCTTGCTGCCCTCAGCATTCCCACGCCGCCCCTTCGCCCCTTCGCGTGTGAGGGCTTGTGCAGGTGCCATCTGTCTGCAGCGGGAAGGGGGTGGGGGAGCCCTGTTTGGCTGTCCTGGACCTGCCCCCGCCGCGCCAGCGCTGTCTCTGAGACGGGCCTGGACCTCTTCCTCAGACAGGATTCCCCACCAGCTTTGCTCCGGACAGCAGATGGGTCTCCCTGGTTATAGCCACGTTAAGAAGGCTTGAGCCTTTCCCTCCCCTTCCAGTAAAAGCTAAGCCCCACCCCCCACTCGGCCAGCTGCCCCCGGCCCTGGCCCGGCTGTGCCTGTCGCCGTCCTGCCCTGCCCAGGTCACTGCCTGGCTTCTCGCCCGTGGCACTGGCTGCCTCCTGGCAAAGGCCTCTCCCAGCCTCCTTGTCTCAAGTGTGCCAGCCACCGTCCCATCGTGGGGTGTTGGCTTTGGCTTGTTTGCTTTCTCCTTTTTCTTGTGGAAATTTGCCAGCTCAGAGACAGGGTGGGGGTGGGGAGAAGGGGCTAGTTCATTCTCCTCCCATGCCCCCATTCCCCCCATCCCCTCATCCCCCCCATCCTGAAGGGCTGCAGCTTGACTGCCCCGGGCACTTTTCCGACAGGCTGGAGCTCTGAAATCCAGCCCCTCTCCAGGCTGTGACTGACTGCGGGGTGTGGGTTTTACCCTCAGGGTGCAGGAGGAAATTTAGGTTGCTCTGAGCCACCAGTTGGTGCTGCTTCGTTCCAGCCACCTGGGGACCGTCACTCAGTGGCAGGGTCGTACTCGCCTTGCTATCTGTCCCCTGAAACCTTCAGAGACCAGAGCACGACCCCCTCAGCCGAGGGTGCTGGCTGGGTTGTTCCCTCTGACATTTTCGGAAGGTCAGCGGGGCGGCGCTCTGAGTCCTCAGGCTGGACCTTCTTGCCAGCCTGGAGGGGAGACGCATAGCATCTCCTTCCAGCCGATGGCTTGTCCTGTCCCTTTAAGCGCCCCCACCAGGCCTCCTACTCACCTGGGCGTGGGGTGGGGACCTGCCTGGGCCAGGGACGGACAGCTGAGAAGGCGAGATAAGCTCCTCCCTAGTGCCCCGGCCCTCCAAACCCTGGTCTGGCCTCCACTGATCTCTGTCCACGTGGAGCCACGCCAGGACCCTGCCCAGGGGTCAGGGAGTCCAGACCAGGCGCGTCCACAGACGGGAAGTGGGTGAGTGGGTGTCAGGGGCTGGGGAAAAGGCGGGGGTGACTGCTGGTGGGGACGGGGTTTCTTTCTGGGGTGACAGAAGGTTCTGGAACTGAATGGAGGTGGTGGGCGCACGACACTGTGAATGCACTAAAATCACTTTAAATGGGTGAAGGATACAGTCTGTGCCCAGGGCAGGCCGCCCCAAGACGTCCCACCGTGGCGCACTGATCCTTTTGAGTTACAGTTACTCAAGAAACTGCCCGTGCCAGAGGAAAAGCTTGACCTCTCTGCCCCGCTCCAGCAAGAGACGGAGCCCCCCCTCCCCCCAGAGCCGAGAGCCCTCAAGAGGAGGGTAGGGGCCATTCTCCTCCCCGACGATTCACCGAGAACTTCATCACGATTGTAAAAAGGTTTTTGAAACGTGCAGGAGAAATTGGAATCGGGGTGGGATTCCCAGTGCCCTCGGTGAAGGCCGCACGGGGCGATGGTGTGTGTCGGGGGGTGTCCCTCCCGGGACTGGAGGCCAACGAGACAGTGCAGGGCGGAGGGTCCAGAACTCACTTCCAAAGGCCTCGGCCCCCAACTGTGCTACATGGCCGCGCAGGCGGACGTGGCAAAAACGGAAACCGGTCCAGAGGCAGGACACACACTGTCGTCGGCATCGCCTTCCGGCTTCTCTCCCACGAAAGGTGCGGAAGCCAAGGTCTCGGTGGATGGCCCCCACTTCAGGCGCCAGTCAAGTCCAGGTCGTCACCAACTGGCTGCAAGTTGGAGGCCCCCACGACCCCCATCTTGGTTTTGACCGATTTGCTGGAGCAGCTCACAAGCTCGGGGAAGGGCTGAGTCGCAGGCACCGGCGTGTTACAAAGGGCGCGAAGGACATGTGGGTAGATGACGAGGTGCACAGGGTGAGTGAGGTGCAGAGGGGTCCCGGGTGCAGGCGCGTCTATCCCTGCGGACCCGGGGTGCGACTTTGCGTGGAGCCCCTTCCTGCCCAGAGGCCGGTCGCAGCCTCCTGACCCCCGAGTCTTCCTGGCTGTCAGCCCCATCCCCGGGGGCTTTCCAGAAGTCACCTCCTAACCCAAACCTGTGTGGTCGAGGGGGCCTGTGCCAGGAATGGGGTGGAACCCAGACAGGGATTTCGGATTGCGTCACAGTGTCATGGTTGGGTTGGTCAAATGTCTCCAGGCGGACATGACCTGAGTGTGTGCTGTGCACACCGGTGATGCCTTGGTAGAAAGTAAAACGCGAAAAATGCACAACCCCCGCCCCAAACCTCAGTCCTGGGGTGGGTTATCCGGTCGTGAGAAAACAGATCTCCACCGAAACAAAGAAAGTCTTTCAAACCATCACAGCCCAGCGTGGCCTAAGAGATAAGACGACTGAATGTCACCTGGGGTCCCGGATGGGGTCCAGGGACAGAAAAGGGACATTCGTGGGAACCGAGGAAAGTGTGAGTGAAGTGTGCACTTCGGTTCATCACGGTGCCTCGCTATCGGTTCGCTGATGGAGACGGCGCGTACCCCTCGCTCACGCACATGCCCGCGGGGGTGGGTGTGGGGCCATGGCTTGCCCGGCCACTCCTCTGCACATCTGCAACTCGGAAACGGTTCTAAAAAGTGAGGTCTAGTCAAACAGATAGATAAGACCTGTCCAGCAAGTCACCAAACAGAAAAAGAAAAAAGAAAGAAGAAACGTAAAGAAAAAGAGAGAGAGTCTGCATCCCCCCCTCCCGCCCCGCCCGGCTGTGTGTCTGTGCCCCTCCTCCGGCTCCCTCTAGTCACTGAGGAAGGAAAGGGGCTCCTTTTGTATCCCGAAGCTTCGCAGAGGCCTGGGGTTTAGTTAAGTGCTCGGGGAATATGACCACTTTTTGTATCGGAGGAAAGAAAAACACTTGCCTTTTGCGGCAAGCCCCACGCCGGGGCTGGTGGAGCAGCACAGAGTCACCCACAGGCGTGAGGTGACAGAAAAAACAGGGCCAGCAACTGGCTGAGAGGAAGCGGGAGGGAGCGCAGGGCGGGGGCCGGGGGCTGGTGGCCGGGGGGCGGGCCTGTTCCCTGGACGGTCCCCAGCCCTGTGGATACAACGTTTCCTTTTGATAAAACCTTGGGACGAAGATGTCAGATGCACGACCGTTGCCTCCTGAGGAAATGGGGCGGGTGGGGGACTGTCTTGGCCAGTGTCTTTGCCCAGGGCGAACTTTTGTCTCTTTATTTCTCATGGACGGTAAGAACTGCAAAAGCTGAATTTAAGGTGGGACTTCGCCAATGTGACACCAGCCACGTGCCCGGGGCAGCAGAGACCCCGGCCCACTCGGGCCTCGGATACGGCCAAAAGGAGTGAGGAGGGACCCCCCCTACCCTGCTTACTGTCCTGCCTTTGCAAACGGGGGGGACAGAGACACAGAGGCCGATCAGCCGGGGCTTAGGGCGGGCGTGGGGGCAGCGACAGGCAAAGGGCTGTGGCTCTTTTCGGGGTGATGAAGATGTCCTAAAGTTGACTGTGTCGGTGGCCGTGCGTCTGTGAATTTGCCCAGGCCCCTCAACTGCACTGTAAGTGGGTGACGTGGGTGCTACGTGCATCCTGTCTCAACAGAAGCACGGGTGCCAGGGGCTCAGGAAGGGAACGGGGAGAGACGCTAACAGGCACAGACAGGGCCCCGTTTGGGGGTGATGAGAATGTTCTGGAACTAGAGAGTGGTGGCGGTTGCACAATGTTGTGAATGTACTAAAAACGGCAGAATCGTGAGCTTTTACGGGGTGAATCGCCTGGCGTGCGCTCTGCCTCGCACTGTGAAGATGTCGCCGGCACAGTAATAGAAGGGAGGTTCTGGGTGTCTGCGTAGTGACCCCCGCCCCGTCCACCAACACCTTGCCACTCTTTCTCCAAGCTCCTGCTGCCGGCCCCCGGTGCTGGCCGATGCCGCCCCCTGCCGGCCCCTGGAGCCACTCCTGGGAGAAGCCCACCGCGCCTGCCCCCCCAGGCCAGACTCCCCCCAGTAGCCTCAGAAGTGCAAGCTCCTCGCACAGCCAGCCAGAGTCCAGGCGGGACTCCTAGGTCTTTACACCATGGTTTATTGATCCCCCGCGCTGTGGCCCATCCCCTCTTGGCCCCTCCCCACAATCCTTCAGGGGGTGGGGGTCCCGGAGCAAGGCAGTCAGGGTGATCCTAGAGCTTCCGGCGTGAGGCGGGCAGGCCAGCGCCTGATGGTCTTCTTGATCCAGGACACGTAGGGGGCCACAGCGGTGGCCACGGGAGGCTTGAAGATGTTGGTGCAGGATGTAGAGCTGAAGGACAGGACTCCGGCCAGGTGGCCTTTGTCGCACACCAGGGGCCCGCCCGAGTCCCCCTGCCGGCCGGAGGAAAGCAGGTCACCTCTGCCCACTGGAGGGGCCCGACGACCCCGCTGGCTGCCCCCGGCCCCGCTGGTCCGCATCTCCCTCCTGCCATTTCCTTCCTGCTGGACCCTTCACTCCTATCCCGCCCGGGGCCCTGGCAAGCACGCGTCCGTGTCACCACCATCTTTGGAGCTGGAGCTCAAACGTGTGCTGCTCCCTGACTGTGTGACTGAGGGCGAGTCGCTCAACCTCTCTGCGCCTCCGTCTCTGCGTCTGAGAACGGGCGAGGGGCCGGGTCGGCCCTGGCCAAAGGCTGCCACCCTCCCCGCCCTCCCCGCACCCTGCCCCGCCCGCCCCGCCTCACCTTGCAGGGGGCCTGGTTCTTGGCCTCGGCCGCCAGGCAGACCATGCCGGGCGCGATGTCACCGTGCCAGAAGCGACTGTTGTTGCACATCCGGGTGTCCAGCACACGCACGTCCAGCTCCCGCAGCACTCTGGCCAGCTTGCCGCCTTGCTGTGTCAGCCCCCAGCCGGCCACACTGCACCGCGCCCCCACGGCCACGGCCTGGCGCCCTCGGGGCAAGGCCAGGGCCTGGATGGTCCTGCTGCGCCTCACCTTCCCGTCCAGCTACAGGAGACAGGAGGGGCCGGGTGGGAGGGGCCGCGGGGAGGGCGGCCTGGCCACGGGGTCACCTGCCTCCCGCCCCCCGCCCGCACCTGAAGCAGCGCCAGGTCGTTCTCCAAGTGGGGGGCCGGCTTGTACTCGGGGTGCAGGATGGCCGCCCTGGCTCGGAAGGTGAGGCCGGGGTCTCTGAGAGCGTGGAGCCCCAGCACCAGCCTCAGCTGCTGGGTCCTGGGGGTGACGGGATCAGGGTGTGAGCTGTGGTCTTCCAGGCCGGACCCTGCCCCGCTCCTTCTCACCCTGTCCCCACTCTCCTCCCCCAGGAAACTGCCTGCTCCCAGGACTGCCCCAGGCTCCAGTTTGGTCCTGGCCAGGGGCGGGGCGTGTGTCCGAAATGCAGACCCCGGGCCTGAGACTCGTCTTGGCGGGCTCCCGCCGCAGCCAGTGCCTACGCAATGCCGCGGTGGTTCAATCTGCGGCTGGCACGTGGGCGAGGCTGGGCCCGTCGAGACCGAGCCTTAGAACTTTGCCCGAACTACAGACAAACAAGCTCTTCCCACAGGAGCTGAGGGGGCCCGTCCTGGCCACCACGTGAGAACCTGACAATGCGGCCAAGGGACACAGCGGCAGAGCCGAGAGACAGGCAGGCTCCCGGCCGCCTCGTGCGAGCAGCTGGATCAAGCTGTGCCTGAAGCCCGACGTCCCACTAGACGTCTCAGTTCCCTGAGCCAACAGATCCCCTTGGTTCAGTCAGCGGGTCTGGTCTGGGCTCTTCGTCACTGCCGACTTGGAGGTTGGGTGGAGCTGGCACAGGTCTACTTGGCGGCTTCCCGAGTCGGTTCTGCCGCCCTGTGGGCCAGCTCCACACCTGTGGCCACAGCGGGAGACCCATCCCTGGGCGTCGCGAGAGGCCCAGCTCCATCCAGCTGGAAGGCCCTTTGTCATAGCAAGTGCAGCCTCCCCGGGAATCCCTCCCCGGGCCTAATGTCACATATGTCACATAGGCTTGCCTCAGCGACCACAGGGTGCAGGAGGGGGCCGCCCGTGATCCACGGCTGCTTCAGTCTTTCTGGACCCACCCCTGGGTGAGAATGGGGGACTGTGGGGTAGATTCGCGGATGCCTGGGGTGACGGGGGGGCAGGGGAGGGTCACTCACTGCTGGGCCACACAGTGGGCAGCTGTCAACACCCACTGTGGGTGCACAAGGACACCTCCACACAGGTGGGATCCGGCTTTACGCAGCGAGACCATGTACGGGCGGGAGTAGGGGGCAGCCTCATGCCCCCCAATGATGTGGGTCTCAAATGTGTCGCCTCCTGGGGAGAGGGACAGAGAGCCAGGTTAGGGCTGGGTGCCCCACCCCCACCCTGACCCTGCCACCCCAGTCTGGGGCCTGGACCCTCACGTTTACTGCCCTAAGACGTCCAGGTCGACGGTGGGGCCATCCTGGACCTCCTCGCCCTTCAGCCCCACATCCTGGTCACCAGTAGGTGACCCGCCCTCCCCCCGCCCGGGCACCACGGCACAGCCCCTATGCAGTGAGAGGAGCTGCTCCAAGTGGAGAAACGGGGCCCCGCGCCCCCCGGCGGGGTGTAAAGTGGGACGGCCACCGTGGAAGCAGCCGGCGGCTCCCCCGAGCAGTAAAAACACACCTCCAGACAAGAAGCTCGCACGCATGCGCTCGGCGGAGGTCACCGAACGTCCATCAGCCGATGGTGGACACGCGTGTGGCCGCCCACGCGCTGGAGGATCGCTGGGCCGTGAGAAGGGGGGCAGGCGCTGACACTCACCACGGTGTGGACGGACCCCGAACACCCGGCGCCCAGTGAGAGCCGCCCACATGGGCCATGCGGGATGGCGGGGGACTCCACGCACGTGGCACGTCCACAGACAGGAAGTGGGTTGGCAGTTGTCAGGAAACTGGGGAGGGGGTTGGGGGTGACTGCTGAGGGGATCGGGGCCGCTTTTAGGGGTGATGGAACATTCTGGAACTAGACAGAGGTGCTGGTTGCATAAAACTCCGAATGTACTGAAAGCCATTGAATTATACACTTTAAAAGGGTGAATGGTATGGCACGTGAATTCTATCTCAGTAAAGATGGTGTAAAGTTTGTTATAAAACCAATCCTAAGTTTAAAAAGGATTGATAAAAAAGTTTTTTAATGTAAATCAAGTCAAAATCTTTTTGTGATTCCCGTGAGTCATGGCTGAAACATCCAAACTCCCCCTGACCCCGGAGGCTCCCATCAGCGAGCCCGCCTCCTTCCCAGGCCCCCTCACTCTCCTCTCCCAGTGGCTCAGGCCTCCCTGCCTTCCCCCCGAAGTGCTGCATCCCCCCAGCAGGGCCGTTCTGGCGGCCTTACCTACCCCACCCGCCCAGCTCTGCCGGGCCTGGCTTCCTCACTGGGTGCCCGCTCAGGAGTCTTCTGCTGGGAGACACCCTCCTCGCCACCCCTGCTCTGTTCCCTTCCTCGCGCTCGCCCTCCCTGACACGTTGGCACACACGGACGTGCTCACTGGTCCCCCAGGGCAGCCTGGGCCTGTGCTCAGTAAATATGGGGGGCGGCGGTGGATGGAAGGATGACAGGTAGATGATGGATGATGGATGATAGATGGATAATGGGTAGATGAGAGGTGAATGAATGATGGATGGAAGGAAGAAAGAGAAAAGAGGATGGGTGGGTGGTTGGATACCTATCCCCCTGGGTCCCCAGTTCGTCACGGAGCCATCTCACTCGGTCTGGCTGGAAATCTGGGGTGCCTGTCACCCCATCACTTTCCATCGCACACTCTCAGGCAGCCAGTCCTGGCCAAGCGCAGATGGTTTGGGGGGCAGCCAACAGGGGCTCAGATTCTAGCTGTGTCCCCCAGGGGTGGCCCTGGGCAGGCCGCCGCATTCGTGGGGTGTGGTTTCCTGTGGTGCACCCGGGGTTTTGTACATATGTTTGTAGGGACTCTGCGGCCGGGTGCTGCTGGGAGCCAACGTCCTCCATCTGCCCCACAGGGGACCTTCGTGAATCCTCCCTGATGACTGTCAGCTTCCCCAGGTCATCAAGGTGACCGCGCCAGGAAGAACACGTGAGCCTCCGTGGCTCCTGGGGAAAATGCACAACCTAAACCCAGTCTCGGGGACGCAGCAGACAGGCCCACGCGTGTCACAAATGCCAGAGTCACGAGACCCAGAGGGAGAGGGAGACTAGGCAGATGACCACGTGCTCCCTGCCAGGCTCGTCCCCACAGAGGACGCCGTGGGGACAGCAGCGAGCTTTGAATGAGGCCTAGATAGGCACCCGACGCCGCCCAGTCCTGCTGGGGTTGGCGGGAACGCCCTTGTCCGCAGGCCTGAGGGGCAGAGCCCTGTAGCTTAGTCCCCAGTGGCCCGGCAAAAATAACGTGTGTCTACGTTTTGCACACACACGGGGGAGAGGCGACGAGGCAGCTGAGGCAGAATGTTGACAACTGGGAAAAAATCTGTAGGATTCCCGTGACTTCTCTGTAAGATCCGATGACGCCAAAGCGAAAAAGACCTAAGGCGTCTGTCCTGCAGTAACCGTCCCTCTGGCCCAGTCCCTCTGCCCGGCCTCGGCTCCTCGGAGCGGCCGACGTCTCCTGCTCCGAAACCCACCCTGGACGCTAGGTGCCAGGCCCGCGGCTCCGTCCCCACTCACCTGCCCACAGGACCCCGGGGGCCACCAGCAGCCACAGCAGAGACAAAGGGACCTCCATGGCACTGCGGGACTCGGAGCGGGTGCCTCCTGGGCCTCTCCGGCCCCTTCCTATGGGGAAGTGACTTTCACAGCCTCGTGCCCCGCAGCACACGCTGTGGCCGATTTCTTCAGGGCGTCTCAGAAAGTGCTTTTAGAAGGTGCTGCCTCTGTGCAGGCAAAACCACAGAAACTCCTCCTCTGACACCCCTGTTGTGCAACCCCCACAGCACACCCGGCCTCGGGGGGGTTTTTGGTGTGGTTTCAACGTGATGGTTGTCTTCACCCCATTTTTCTCATCGTTGCAACGCGCCATAAACTTTACCGCTCTAACCATTTGGGAGGGCACAGCTCGGCGGCCTTAGGCACACTCACGTCGCGCGGCCGTCCCCAGCGTCCACCTCCAGGACGTCCTCATCGTCCCACACTGACACTCTGTCCCTGTTACACACTCGCTCCCCAGCCCCAGCCCGTCACCCACCACCTACTCCCTGTGTCTGTGAATCTGACTCCTCTGGGGACCTCCTGGGAGTGGGATCGCACAGGACGTGTCCTTCTGTGTCTGGCTTATGTCACCGAGCACGGTGTCCTCAGGGCCCACCCACGTTGAGCAGGTGCCCGTCCTTTCCAGGGCTGAGTACCCGTCCAGTGTGTGTACAGACCTCACCGTGCTCTCCGAGCCCATTGAGGACGCTGCGGCCGTTGCTGGCCTCTGGTCATTGCAACTGAAGGCGGTACCAAAGTGCTGGGGACGAGGAGGAGCCCACAAACCCGAGGCTCAGCTGCGTGCGGTGCCAGCTGGACCACCGAGGTCTGCCTTGGGCTCCCACTCCTCAGCCCTCCCCCCATGTGACCCAGATCTGCCAGTCAGTGTTCTGTGCCCTGGCTGCAGGGTGGCCCTGAGGGTGACTGGAACTGCCAGCTGGACCACCGAGGTCTGCCTTGGGCTCCCCGGAGCTCCGGCCTCCCCCTCCAGGCCCACTCCTCAGCCCTCCCCCACCATGTGACCCAGATCTGCCAGTCGGTGTTCTGTGTCCTGGCTGCAGGGTGGCCCTGGGGGTGACTGGAATCTTTCAGAAACAGCCCTCACTCTGTCTCTGCTGGACTCAGAGGAATGTCTGCCTGGGGATGGCCCCAGGGTGACAGGGACCCACCTGAGGAGGCCCACACGGAGCAAGCTGAGCTTGCTGCTGTAACAAGTCACCATTCAGGGCCTGATGCCACACAAACATCCTCTCAGTTCTGGAGGCCAGAGCAGTCAGAGGGCCTCGTCGGGCGAGCCCCAGGTGTGAGCAGGGCCGGTTGCCCAGAGGGTCTGGGGAGGGGCTGTTCCCTCCCCAGGGAAGGAACATGGACACCTTTGGGGCTGCTATTCTGCTGACCACAGGTCGAAGAGATAGAGTCCCAACAGAACCAGTGCCTGGATCCAGCTGTGCCTGAAACCCCCACTTCGTCAGTCACAGAAACCAGCGTAATTCCTTTCGCTCGAGTCAGTCTGAGCTGGGCATTCTGTCCTCGGCTACTGAAAGGGTCATGACAGATAAAGAAGAGGGGGCCGATGGGCCGGCCCAGGGGCCGGGGCTCTGGACGAGAGCTCCTGCTCATTCTCTCGCCCGATGGCATCGGGCACATGAGGCTCTGGGGTTCTGTCTCCACCCAGTAGGGTGTGTGAGGCTGGGGTGACTGTCAGCTTCCGGTTGTGGCGGCTCCAGTGCCGACAGAAGCCCCCATTCTGGGGTGCGAACGGCTCAGGTACGATACAGCACGGCTGCAGAACAGCCTCGCCAGCTTGGCCTGGGAGAGGTGGCCCAGAGTCACAGCTCGGCCACAGCAAAGCAGCTCTGCTCAGCCCCAGCATGAGAAGACACCTCCAGCTGAAAGTGAAAGTGCCCAGCGGGCCAGGGAGGCCGACTCGCAGAGAGAAGTCCCCATCCCTGGTCCCCGACTGGTCCTTCTATGCAAATGAGGGCTCCCAGTCCTCACAAGTCTGATTGTTGCAAAGGCACACGGATGAGTTAAAATGAAGCCGCTCCAATTGGTCAGTGAAGATGCAAATGAGTATAGCTGTGCATCTCTGGTTGGACAGGTTGAATTTTGGTCCTAGGAGCTCACCTATAAGGGGCCACCGGGGGGCTGGCAGCCCAGTCTGTGGCTTTTCCCTGGCGTGCACCTTGGGTGAGAGGCTCTTGCAGGCAATGGCTGCTGGCTCTGGCTATGAATTTGGCCCAGTTAACCACCAGGAGTCCGTTTTAGCAGGTACCTACTTCGCGGGGTCAACGAGTTTAACGAGTATTTATGGAGCGTGTTCATGGGTCCAATCTTGTTTAATCCTAACGGTCCCAGGAGCTGGGCTCCATTAGCGTCAGGGTGGTCAGATCTAGTAACTGAAAATAGAGAGTGCCTCGTTAAATTTGAATTTCGAGTAGACAGAATTTTTTTTTTTTGCAGAAACTGTGTGGAAACTACTTATAGTAGAAACGACTGGCTGTGCACCCGAAATCCTGACCTGACTGGCAACTCTGATCTTTGGCCCGTTTTGCAGCTTAGGACAGGTTCCGAGAGGGGAAACCACTCGTCCTTGGCTAGGACGGGATGGGACTGGAACCCGGATTCTCAGACACCGCTGCCCCGGGAGGTGGGCCGTGTCTCCTCCTCCTTGGATCTGGGCAGGCTCTGGCCCGTCTCCCCCAGCCTCGTGCACCGTGTCACTGCTGAGGCTGGTCGGACACGGCCGTGCTCCCGGGTCCCTCACCTTGGAGCCTGTGCCACCATGCGTGAGCACCGAGTCTGGCCTCAGTGTCACCCCACCCCGGCGCCCAGCGTGAGGGCGCCTCCAGGAGGCCCTAGGCCCCAAGGTCCAAGTCACCTAGACGGTGAAGGGGGCAGCTGCTCGGTTCCGGGCCACAGAAGCTGAGCACGACGGTGGCTGCGCCGTTGCCCAGTTCAGGAGGCCCGTTCTGCAGCAGCAGCGGTGTGGGAGGAGGGCAGGGGCCGGCCGAGGGAGACCAGCTCGAGGTGGGGCCCGGGCCCCAGTCCGACTGGGACAGAGGTTGGCCGACTTGCCTCCGCGTGGCGGGCGCTCGCGGGACGGCCGGGCCCTGGAGCTGCGCTCCGCAGCAGCCCGGCGGGGGGCAGAGGGGCCGCGGGAGGTCGGGGGGTCCTGGGTCCTGACTCCAGGGTCTCCCACTGCCACACCCAAGGCTGCCAGCCACTTGCGGGGCTCACAGAAAATGCGGCCCCGGGAGGGAGAGCACTTTACACCACGGTGACACTTGCCGCGGCCACCTCTAGGTGCAGAGGCTGATGGCCTGGACTCGGTGTCTGCACAGTGCTTGGAGGGGCACACACCATGGCCCCATGCAGGGGTCCAGGGACGGCTGTGGACGCTCTGAGGGCTGGGTGGCCGGTCACGCACAGCAGGGCTCAGAGTGACCGAGGCCGGGAAGGAGGGGTACAGGTGTGGCTGCCGCAGAGGCCGGACGGCGCTCAAACCCACCGGGGACGCAGGCCGCGGGGCTGGGGACGGCGAAGGGTGTGTCCGCCCAGAGTGGCCCCTCGGTGGCCCCACGCCGCCTACCAGCCGGGGTAAGCGAAGCCAGAAATGACGACGACTGGGTGAAACCGTCCACGTTTTAATGTAGGAAAATCATTCATGTTAGAAAACAAACAAAACCGTGAGGCCCCCTTGGGGAAGCCGGCCGGCAGGCGCCCCGAGCGGCGCGAGCCCAGGCGCACAGGCCACGTGGGTGGGACGGGGCCCCGGGTGCGCCTGTCCCCCACCTGCGCAGGGGCATCCGGGCTCCAGCCGCAGCGACAGGTCAGGCCGGGGTCACCGAGGCCTTCGTCCCGGTGACGCCATCCGGCCCCGAATCCGGCCTGCAGAAATGAAGCCAGAGGCCCGAGTGACACCAGGGACACGCCGGGGGCGGCACCCGCAGGAGGGCTGGGGACTGGGGGCCGTGGGGCACGCCTCAGCCTCGGCAGAGCACCCCTGGCGGCCAGGCCTGGCCCGGCCCCGCCGCCCGGCCCCCGAGGTCCTCTGGGGAGGCCAAAGACAGGCTGCCTCTCTGGCTTCTCGCAAAGTCGTTTTATTTAGATTCCAAACAAACCAAAGCAGAGAGAAGGGGCGGCCGCCAAGGGAGTCCGTCGTCTCGCGAGCCGGGGGACCCCGGGTCTCTGGCTCCAGCTAGCGGGGCTGCACACGGGGCCGGTCCGGGTCCTTAGGCCACCGCGGCCCCAGGCGCACGTGCTGGGCGCCCAGTACAGGTGGCGCCCCTGCTCGGGGGCAGAGGACAACCCAGAGCAGACGCGGGAGGGGGGAAGCCAGACCCCGGAGCCGGCGCAGGCTGCGGCCGCCTCCCCGTGCCCAGAGCCCACACAGCGGCGAGGTAAAATCTGTGCGTTTATTTGGCGGGGACGCGGTGTCAGGACTCCTCGGTGCCAGAGTCGTCCTCGTCGTCCCCGAAGCAGCTGTCGGCCTCGGCCTCGGCCTCGCCGTCCTCGTAGTAGTCGTCGTAGAAGAGGTCCGAGCCCTCGTCGGGGGCCGGGGCCTTGGTCTTCACGCAGTACTCGGCCAGCGTGGTGGGCACCTTCACGCCGTCCCGCTCCGCATCCACCTTGGTCCCCAGGACCTGCTTCCTGGGGGGAGACGGGGCGGGGCGTCAGAACCCTCAGCCGGCACCTCTGGGAGGCAGGGGTGACCGGCCACAGGGGACCCCGCGGCCGCACTGCCTGCAGACCACACGTCTGACCGGAGAGCACGCGGGAGGGCCTGGCCCCGGGGCCACGGGCTCACCCAGAAGGCGCGGACGGGCACGTGCCATGTGTGAGGTCACTGTGAGGGGGACCACTGCCGTGCCGGGGTGGGGGCACCCCACGGGGCAGGCGCCTGGCTGCCGGACGCCCTAGTCCCAGCGCGAAGCACATCTGAAACTGGAGCTCGTGGGACCGGCCTGTAGCAGGGGAGGCTCGCGGCCCCTGGGGCCCCGCGGGTCACGTGGGGACACTGCCGGTGGAGCGACGGGCAGCAGCAGCCACCACAGCTCCCACGGGAGACCACGTGAGCCGCCCACAGGGAGTCACAGGGACAAAAATAGTCTGGCTTCCATTTCAGAGCCACGTGGGAGGCCAGGAGGCACTGGCGGAGGCGGCCGCGTGGGCAGGACCCCTGGAGGTGCCACGCCGGCACCCACTCTGCGACTCACGACCCTGAACGTCATGCCAGCGACAGAGGACGCTGGCAGAGCGGGAGGGGTCCGCCCAGCACCTCTGGGGACGGCTGGTGGGGGCTGGCGTGGCTGCGTCTGTCACCTCCGTCTGTGAGCCCCACACACAGGGAGCGCCCAGCCCTGGGCCTGCTGTGGCAGGCGGCAGAGGACGCAGAGGTCGGAGGCATCCCTGTGCACTCGCGGGTCCCCTGGGCGCCACGTGTGTGTCAAAGTCACTTAGAAACCCCCCGTGACCCGCCGCAGGCTCACTCGCAGTAGCGGCCCTGCCGAGGCGGCCGACGGTTCACCTGGGCGTCACCAGGAAGGGCCCGCCCCGGCCCCGGCCCCGTGGGCACGCTTGCACACGTGTCGAGACGGGGCTGGTCGAACGGCAGGACAGCGTGACATGAGGGCGACGCACGACGCACACGGCCTTCGGTGTCTTCACTGTGCACCGGTGGTGAGGTGGCCGCATCAACGCACAAAGCTCACCAAACGAGCCCAGACGGGGTGAGCGTCACTGCACGTGTCCCCGGACCGAACCTGACCGAAAGCCGGTTCCCAGGTGGCACGTGTGGGTCCCCACCCTCCGGACAAGGGCGGCGGCGACCGCCAGCTGCCGGCATCGCCCATGCCTGGGGGCCGTGGGCCACCTGCTCCCGCGTGGCTTCCGCAGCTTCACCTGCATCAGCTGTGCCCACGGTAAGCTCGGACTGCGTGCCCCGTCGCCCCCAGAGGCTCCCCTGGTGCCTCTTAAATCCCACGTCCCCGACAGCCACAGGCGCTTCCTAGATGCCAGCGTCTACCTGGCGTCCTTCACGCCACCTGGCGCCTGGAGAGGCGGCCGCGTGGGGATGCGCACAACGGGCCACGGCCTGCTCGCCCGCACCTGCTGAGCACGCTGGGCCTTTGCCCGTGTTTGGCAACTGGACGCGGCTCCGCACGCGTGTGTGGATGCTCGTGCGGGCACCCAGGCCTGGAGCGGCTGGGTCGCGGGGCAAGGCCCTAGCTTCTCACTTACTGTTCTAATTAAAGGAGATGACAAACTGAATACGTACTTGGGAAAAACCTAATGAAGGGCTGTGGGTCACGAGACAAACCAGAACACCACACGATGAAAAGTGACAATGGACAATGGACACAGTGGCTCCCAGAAGAGACAAAACAAGGCGGAAAGAACAGGCCGGCAGCCCGGGGCCTGAGACGGGGTTCGGCCGCCCCTCGGCACCTGCGCCAGGACACCGTGCCGTCTCTGCAGGATGCCTGCCCGTGCGCGCGTGACGGGGGACACCTGGGACAGGGGAGGGTGGCTCTGGCAAACCCTCGGTGACACGTCGCTTTTACGACCAGGAGAAACCATTCGGGATGGTTTTTCTGCCTTTGGAAACGGAATCCAAGTTTCAAACTTACAAACGCAAGGGACACGGCAGGAAGTCGTCAGGCGGGACAGGTAAAGCGTCACAGGGCACCAGCCTCGGTAACGGGACAGGAGCGCACCCGGCCACGCGCCACGCGGCACCGAAGGCACATCACAGGCTCGCGGTGTCCCAGGACCCCTGCTGTCCTCGAAGGCCTGCCCGGGAGGGCGGGGGCTGCGGGACACCTGGGTGTCTGTCCTCTGCCACACCGTTAAGCCTGTGTGTGACACGGCCACACGCGCACGACACGGCACACCCAGGCACCCCACGTGAGACGGACGCGTGAGACGACGGTATTTAAGAGAACACGGACGCGTGAGACAACGGTATTTAAGAGAACAAGGAGAGAAAGGCAAACGCCCCGGTCTGTAGACGGCAACAGGAGAGACCGGGAGGAGAGGGCCGGCGGGCTGGGTGTGGGCCCGGCCGGACCCCGCGCGGCGCCGCGGCCCCTGCTCACCGGATGATGTCCGTGTACTCCCGGTCCTTCCCTTTGCTCTCTTTCCACTTCCTGTACATCACGGAGGCGTCCACGTTGGCCGGGGAGAAGGTGTTGGGCTCGTTGAGGAGGGAGATGACGCTCAGGAGGATGGTCCTGCGGGACGGGGTCAGCGGTGGGGCCGACGCTGCCACAGGAGCCGCAGGCCAAGCGCGGCCCCCGGCTGCCCTTGGCCGGAGGGCGCCCGGAGTCCCCGCTCTCTGGCCTCCCCGGGCTGAGAGTCACTGGGGCAGCGTCTGACACCCCTTGAAGCCAGCACCCACCCAGAGGCCCCCCAGGGCCTCAAACACCAAAGTGACATTGTCCGGCCTTCTCCCCCCCGGCCCGACCTGCCTGCTGGCCTCTCCCCACGCACGGTGCCTGCCCGGCGAGGCTGTCCCTCCGCGCCCTGCCATCTTTCACGATGGCCGGGGCTGCTCTGAGGACATGCACGCAAGGATGGGGCTGGGCCGGGGCAGGGCCACAGCAGGGCGGCCCACTCAGGCACGGGGCTCAGTGTGAGCTGAGGGGGGAGAGGCCCCAGGGCCCGCAGCCGTGGACAGCAGAGATGGCAGGACCTTGAGAAAAGGCCCGTTTGGGCACAAGCCTGCCAGAGCACCGCGAGGGGCGTGGGCTCCGAGGGCGGCACAGGTGTCCCCCACATGCCCACGTCTGTGTCCCCAGGGCTGCAGCGGGTCAGCAATGCTGGGACACAGGGCCTGCCGGCGGACCCCTCACCTGACGTTCTGGGTGGGGTTCCACCGTTCCGAGGGCAGCTCCCCGCTCTGGGGGTCGTCTACCGGCGGGTGGAGAATGGAGATGCACACGTCCCCCGTCTGTCCGGGGACAGGAAGGCGGGGTCACTGCCCACCCTGGCGCCCGTCAGGCCGCACCGTGCCCCCTGCCGCCCCCTTACAGAGCGGGGAGGAGCGGGCTCACCTCGTAGATGTTGGGGTGCCACATCTTGGTCAGGAAACGAAAAGCCGGCGGGGAGTAGGGGTAGTCGATGGGGAACTTGAGGCGTGCCTGGGGGGTGGCAGAGAAGCAGGGATCAGCCAGGGCTGCCGCTGCTGTCCCCTCAGCACCACGTGTGGGAGCAAGCCGGCCAGGACAGGCCACCGCTTGGAGACTTCTCTCACAAGCACACGAATGAGAACAGCAGCCTGGGATGGACACCCCCAGCTCAGGAGGGCTGCCCAGGCGGGCGGACGTGTGCTGCGTACTAGTCATGAGGAACACCCCCGCCACCCCCGCCCCTCGCGAGCCTGGGTCCGGTACACAACAGGCTGCCTGGGGCTTCTGGGGGTCGCCTGAGCTGATCGTGGTCCCCACCCTGCTGCTGGGAAGTATGGGTGCCCGCCCAGGGAGCAGTTCTGAGCTTGACTGTGGCCCAGGCCTGTAGGAGGGATCAGGAGGCTGAGCCTGGGCCTGAGCTCAGACCCGCAGACAGCCCCACTGCCTGCGGGGCCCAGGGTGGGCTCAGACCCGCAGACAGCGGGGCCGGGCCCCGTGGGCCTCTGCACGGTGTGGGACGCCCGCCTCAGTGTCCAGCTTGTGGAGAGGATTAAAATCTCGTGGGTTCCCTTGGCAATCCCCGACACCTCTGTGAGCCGGGCCCTGTGGAGATGAGTCAGTGCAGGGTGGACAGGCTCTCTGCCTGCGGGTGTCCATCTTGGGGGGGTCAGAAAAATCATGGGGTAGACAGGGAGCACCTGACCGGGTGACAGGGCTGCACAGGCTCAGCAGGTAAGGGTGTCCCACTACTGAGGCCCAGCCCCAGGCTTCGGGATCCCGGAGGGCCTCGGGCTCCCCTGGTGTGTGGCCGGCGGGGGCCACAGGAACCTCTGTGGGGCAGGGCCACCCAGGCATTTGGAGCCATTCCTTGTTCTTGGGTGAACGTGCCAAAGCCACCAGCCACAGCTGCAGAGCAAGCCTGGAGCCTGAGTTTCAGCACCTCCCTGTGGCCCGAGCCCAGGGCTGGGCTCTGCGTGACGACCCCAGAGACAGTGAGGCCTCCTGAGCAGCGCAGGGGGACAGGCCTCCCTGCCCGAGCATCCGAGTCCCACTGTGTGCCTCGGGCACTGCCGAGCAGAGCGACCCGGGGCTCAGACAGGAAAGCACCTTGCCCCAGGGCATGGGCAAGTGTGCAGGGGAGGGGACCTGGACCCCAGTGGCCCCCCTCAGCACGTTGCGCCACCTGGTGCCCCGCCCAGGCCAAGCCCCCCACAGCCAGTGCAGGAGGAGGCTGGGAAGTGACTGTGGCCCCGGGCACCTCCTGCTCCCCACCCCCGCCCCATCACGCCGGGACCCAGAACCACCCTGGGCCCCATGCTGGCTCCTTTCAGAACAGGCCCTGTGGCAGGTCAGACCCAGGTCCAGCAGCGTCCCCTCCCAGCCCGTTCTTTCCAGGAAAATGGGATTATCCCCCTCAACAGCCTGGGATGCTCTACCCACAATCCCTCGCAACCGCCTAGTGGGCAAAGCCAGACACCCACGTCCTTTCCTCCCAGGCCTGCGAACTCACTTAAGAGTTCTGGCCTCGGGGGTCGGGGGTGGGGGGGCTCCGTTACCCCGCTTCTGAGCAGAGCCCTTATCCTCATAGCCAGCCGCTCCCTGAGGCACACAAAAGAGCTTGGGGAGGAGGCTGGTTACACCCTTCTGTAATCAGCCCCAAATCCGATGGGCAGGCTGGATTCCAGATACAGCACTCAGACCCGGATGCTCATGCTCCCCCTGGCCCACCCCTGCAGCGAGGACTCACCCCCAGCAGACCAGGCAGCACCCTCTGGCCACTGAGCAGGCAAAAACACGGGCCAGAAGTGCACATGGACA